ACTGCCTAATACTTAATTTTCTTCTAAAAATTTTTATTGTGAATTAAGTGAAGGTTTACAGGGTAGATTATCGATTTTACATTCAACAAATCATATTTCATTTCATTGCAATGATTACAATCCCCTCCATGTACTATCAGATAACAGTATTTACCTCTATTCCCTTTTTTTGTTTTGGATGCACACATACAAAACAAAGAATATATATTCTTTTAAATGTCCAAAGGGCACATTTTGCAAGTTCACCTCCTGCCCACAGGCACACAGCCTTTTTCAGTCCCTGGGCCTGGAGCCCTAGCTGCTCTGTCTCTCCATGCCATCGCCTCTGCCACCATCTCTGCTGGCACCACTTTTCTGGGTAGGATCTCATGCTCCACTCATGCCCTTCCTTTTTGATGGTCCAAGGGTCCTCTGTTCTTGAAATGAAACATTAACTACTCCCTCCTTTTATTGCACATCTTCTGCATTTACAGTTGTGACAGTCATATTTAGTCCTGATAATAGTTCATCATAATTGAGTCATAAAATCCTATCCCCATCATCCCCATCCCCTTTCACCAGCTGGTGTGGCACTGTGGGCTAGTGTGCTGGACTGCAAAGTCAGTTTGAACCCAAGGTCGGCAGTTTAAGTTCATCACCTGTTCCTCGGAAACCCTGTACAGGATTGCTATGTGTTGGAACTGACTCAAATGCCATAAAACTATCACTACCCTTTGAGGTAATGATCCACTTTCGGTGAATTTATATAACCAAAATATGGGGAAATCTGCATGCATTAAGATATTTGTAGCAGCCGTAGGCATAATAAAGAGAAAAAGAAACAACCCATACTAAATACCACACTAAGGGAATAGATTAGAAAATTCTGGTGCATTTTCTTGGTAGCTATCTTTCATTAAAAATAGTAAGTTTTATGGCTGTATAGCCTCAGTTTAAAAAGAAGGTGATACAATGATACATGAAAAGGGCAGGATACCTAATTGTCTACATACTATGATCATGCCTTTGCAAAACACCTGAGAAAAACAGAAAGAAATCAACAAAAATGAGTACCTATGGTATGGTATGTTGTTATGGGTCGGAACCGACTCGACGGCACTTAACAACAACAACAATGGTATGGTATGGCACTGTAGGATCAGCACTGAACTGCAACCATAAGGTCCGCAGTTCAAACCCACCAGCTGCTCCTTGGAAACCCTATACAGGGTCACTATGAGTTGGAACCATCTCAAGGGCACTGAACAACAACATGGTATTGCCAAACTTGTAATAGTCATCCTCTTAGTAAGGTGGGATTAAAAGAGACTTTCTTGTTGTTAGTTAAATGTTGTTGTTGTTGAAGGCTGTCCAGTCGTTTCTGACCCATAGCAAACCTGTATAGAGTTTGCAGGGAGTGGCTGGTGAGTTTGAACCAAGTAGTCCTCTCATATTTGTATTGTTTTTCAATGAGTATGCATTTCTTGTGTAGCGAGGAAAAAAGACTAGGGCACTCCTTTAAAGTTGTCTCAGTAGTGACTAACTAAAAAGTTAACCCCTATGAAGCACATGGAATGAGTTTCTAAAAAATCTCCAAATTATAAAACAA